GGTGATTTGGGGGTCAGGGTCGGGGATGGGGATTGTAATCCTCACTTCGAACCCGCCCCGTTGCCATTCCTAGATAGAATTTCATTCCCAAGAGAAGGGCAGGGAATAGCCATTCCCTCAAACGGGGGAATGCCATTCTAGCAATAATGAAAATGAGATTTTGATTCCACCCAACCAAACAGTTGCCAATTGAGATCGGAATAATTCATTTTGGTTCCGATTCCATACCCTATTCCTGCGAACCAAACAGGGCCTTATAAAATAAATCAAAGTTTTTTATTTTTTTAAATTCTGGGGCGGGGGCCCGGTCGAGGGGTGTCCACAAGGCTTTACAGCCGCACATCCGATTGTGCACAGGGTGTAGTCAGCAGATCCGAGCTCATGGGAGGTGCAGTATTATGATCGAGTAATACACTGGATCTTGCTTGTTGGGTACTCAACCACCTTTCTGGTGATTTGTTGGAGATTCTAGATGATCCTTTCCTTTGTGTTTTTTATATATTTATAATAAATATGAATAAATGCTTCCTTGCTTGTACCGCAACTCCACGTAGAAGTTAGATGTTAGAACAAAAGGATTAAAACAAAGAAGAAGAAAATAAAATAAACAAAAAAAAAAGTGTAAATTCTATCTTTATTCTTTAATAAAGGTTTGTTTACGCCTCAAATTAAACAATTTTAGGTGTGGTATGGGCCCACCAACTGGAAGGAAGAAAAGTACCAAAATGCACATTGTGCACGTGCAGGGACTGCAAGGATCTAATATTCAACCAGTCCTTATTCCTTTTAACCGTTTGCTCTTAATCCTGCCACGACTTTTTAAATGTGATGTATCAAATGGTTTGGATCATTCGCACAACTGGGTCCCATCCCAGCCACGTCGGAAGGTATAAAGTTGGTGGTGAGTCATTTAATAAGTTCCAACAAACGATATTTCCTATTGCTTTCCTTGAGATATCAAAATTTCAGACTTTGAGAGAGAGAGAGAAGCATCATACGCCAGCCAAAGAGAGATAGCTCAACCCTCAGCCGACTCTCATTTTTCTTCTTTCTTGTTTGGTAATGAGCCGACTGTTGATAATAGATGTAAAATAAATAAAAGGAAGAGAAAGAGAGAGACCCACATAGACTTACGAAGGCCTGATCAATTAAAGAGGCGTGTAGCTAAGCATAGGTTGGGTTAAGGTTAAGAGATACCCAGCACCAGATCCTATAAAGAAAAAGAAGGAAATATATAGGAAGCAATCAAAATGTCAGGACTGAGAATGGGGACAGCCTTGTCTGCTTAGCTCGACTCATCTTCTTTCTTCTTACTAATAATCATTCAGCTTCATTCTAGTTTCTCTTTCTCTCACCCTTTTGTTCTTCTCCTAGACCTCCCCCTCTTCCTCCTTTTCCCAGCCCCCCCCCCCCTCTCTCTCTCTATCTTGTGTTGGTTTGCGTCAGGTTTGATCTGTGTCCTGAGTTCTGAGACGAAACAAAAACAATAAAAAAATTGAGAACCCAATTCAATCAAGCCCTCTCTCTCTCTCTCCACTGTATAAGTGTCCAGAGTCCAGAGGTTGTACAGAAAGTCGTGTGCTCGGATCCCAATACAGGGTCTCTGGTGAGATCGCCAATAACGAGAAAACTGCCTGCTTTTTCTCCCCACTCACGCTCAAGTATAAAGGGCTGTGGTCCTTCAAACCCATCTTTCCTTTTAGCTTTCGTAATAATATTTTCTCAGTCCCTTCCAACCCTTTTTCCTTCTCCCTTTGTTTCCCTTTCAGCTGTTGCATTACACAGCTTTTGTACAAAGAAAAGCTCCATACTCCCCATACACAGCAGATTGCTGGGTTTGAGCTTGGGCTTCTACTAATGCAACAACCGGGTTTAGGAATGTTGGGTCATGGGGTTGGTGGTGGAAGCATTGGTGGGTTACACGACGACGTTTCTGTGTCGGTCTCGGTAGCTGTTCCCGCCGATCAACAGCGGCAGCTCAAGGCCGAGATCGCTACACATCCTCTCTATGAGCAGCTATTAGCCGCTCATGTCGGGTGTCTCCGCGTTGCTACACCAATCGATCACTTACCTCTCATCGATGCACAGCTCGCTCAGTCTCACCATATCCTTCGATCCTATGCTTCCCGACATCAACAGCAACACCATGTCCTCTCTCCCCACGAGAGACAGGAGCTTGACAACTTCTTGGTAGGTTATTCTCGAAAGTGATATTCCAGTTTCCTTTTCTTCATATTCAACTGTTATTTTTTACTCTCCCCCCTAATCTCCCCTTACCCTTAACACGGTTTCATCTGGTATTATTTACAGGCTCAATATTTGTTAGTTTTGTGTTCATTCAAAGAACAGCTCCAAAACCATGTTCGGGTCCATGCCGTCGAAGCTGTTATGGCTTGCCGTGAAATAGAACAGTCCTTCCAAGCTCTCACCGGTATGCCCTCTCTCTCACTCTCAGGGTCTCTGTCTTTCTGTCTCATAATATTATTAGAAGTTTAATTTTAGAGATAAAGAAGTCTGATGGGTTCTTTTTTTTTTAGTTGCTGTTTTCTTGTTTAATCTGTTTGTTCTTTTAATGTTGGATGGATTTGGTGGGTGGAAAGATAAGGGGGAAAGCTATATGGGTTACTTGTAAGTCTGTGTTTCCGTGGGAGAGAGGTGGGTGGAGTGGGACCACGGAGGAAATAGTTTATAGTTAGGAGAGGTTTAGTTAGTTGGGTGATGGAGGGAGGGAACAAAGAATGACAACAGCCGGTGATGTTTCATTTGAATATTTAGCCTTTCTAGAGGGTACTTGTATTCTGATTGTTTTTTATTTGTTTTGTTAGATAACCCATGAACCTTCTTGCTTACATTCCTCTTGATTTGCTGAGTTTGGAATCTTTGGACATGTACTGGAGTGCTTGGGAAACAACCAAAGTTGTTGATAACTTTATATTTCAAATATTATTTTTTTAATATCTTTCTTATTTAGTGCTACAAAGTTATGAGATAATCAGCTGCCATTACATGGATATTCATGTAAAAAAGTTCACAAATATGGAAAGTGAATGATGTATAATAATAATAATAACCGTGTTCATTTTTTTGGGATTTTGGTACGGAAAGCTAGTAAGTACTAGTTAATGCAGGTGGCAGCTTCTTAGACTGGTTTTAAGGTCTGGACTTGCGGATAGAATTAGTGCAATTCCTTTCGGCAGATGCATATCACATGCCAGAAAGAAGGCAAAATAATCAAAAAGTTCTGGGCAGGAAATGTTGAATGAGATTCCCCAAACATTGACTGATAATATCAAGGTAGATCGAACACTTTTGATCAGACCAACAAACGTCAAGTCTTCCCATTACATTATTTGGTTGCAAACGATTATTTCATATATAAAGGGAATTTTTTCAACTGTTAAAAGTTCCATGCATGTATAAATAAAATTTCACACATAAATCTGAGGAAAAATTCTTTTTCCCCTTGAAAATCCCCTCCATTTGGTTTGGGGTGGTCTCTTTTCTTATGGAGGGATGCTCATTTTCTATAACCATAGGTGTACTCAGTATTTCCTTTTTGAGCCACAACTCCAAGCTAACAAGACAGTAGAAAGTGAAATATAACGCTCAAATGATGAGCTTTTTATTCTACCAAAAACAAAACAAGTATGCATCCATCTTTTGAAATTGAAGGCTTCCTTTGACTAGAGATTAATTTGTATTGTGAACAAACTGGATTAGTTATTACTTTGGCAATTTCCCATGCCACTATACCACACACTATTTTTTTCCAACTCTTGCGAAGAGAAAAAAAAAAAAAATTAGCAAAAGCTTTTTCAAGTTGTAAAACTGAGGCAGAATAAGAATAATGACGGTTGGATAAATTAAAAAAAAAGGAGAAAACAAAAGAATATTGACGGTTGGGGAGAATGATGATGAAATTATCTGAACATGAACACTTTATTTGATATATATAGCTAGTTTGAAAAATATGAAATTTCAATTGCAACAAATCTTTACCTTCTCTAAGATTATAAAACAACAGTTGTCGACTAGCTATAATTTATCCAACAGAATCTTCAACTAACAAACCACTATTATTCAATTCCCAATATATATATATGATTGGATGTAAACAATGAATATGTAAGAATTGAGTCTTCTATCAATAGTTGGATTTCCTCTCTTCATCCGTCACCCTGAAACCACTAATTTCATAGAAGAGAGGAAATCCAACTATTGATAGAAGACTCAATTCTTACATATTCATTATTTACATCCAATCATATATACGTGCACTTAATTGTAGTGCTAACTTCTAGTTCTATATGTACTAGATAAACCATTAGGCATAAAATAATAGGTTTGGCTGATTGATTTAGATCTTATGACATAATTATTAACCAATAGAAAATGTGCATCATTCATGACATTTAGCATGTAAATTTCTTTATCTACAAGTATCTCCGAACTCCAACTCTTCAAATTTCTTATTATTTTTATTCTAGCTTTTAGCTTCATTGCTAGTTGGTAAATAATGTTCTTAATTAGTAATAACCAAAATGCATTTAGGACCAAGATCAAAGACTAAAAGCCACTCCTTAACATATATGGATAGCCCTTAGGAAGGGATAAAACATTCGCCCATCTAGAGGAAATGGCTAAAATACAATAAGCCCTTTATGTCTTTCAGAACAATGCCAAAGGTTAACTCGTTAACATCTGGGTAACCCTTAGGTCTGTATCCAGTTCATCCCTCCCACTCCCAAACATCTGGATATATAGCTCTTATATGAAGGGATAAACCATTTTTCAATAAAATATTCATCTTGACATATATGATATGGATTACAAGTACACTCTTACAGCATTATGTTTTTATGTATTGCAAAAATACAAACAACAGAAATGATTGTGAGTTAACTCATTCAACTAAAAAAATCATACTACCCAACTTCCTTCAGGATCTTAGGCCTAACAGCCAAAGTACAAGGAACCCATTTCGGATTTGGTCCTCACAAGACCGTGTTCACATTGTTTGCACAGTCCCTTGAGAATATCTTCCCATGAACAAAAAAGCAGACAAATACGGAGATATTCTCAATACAAGGCTGTAAGGGGCTGCGCGAATGGTGTGAGCAGTCTTGTAAGCACTGAAGCCGATCTCTTGTTATTGTTTGTTTAAATTGTAAGAAACTGGAGATTGTAAACTATGATTATTCCTACTATTTTCAGCAAGTATTTTAAAGTTATTTAGTAGTATAAATTATTCATATTGGTTAGATGGATTTTTAAGTGAATAGATCCAGAATCTTCAGCATTGGAGTTCGGTAGCTAGACTAGTTTTTACTTGTTTGCAAACTTAGTTAATTACCTGTTTTTTTTTTAATTTTTTTACTTTTGGTAAACAAACGTACCTGATTCTTATGTAGTAGTTTTCAATCCATCCAATAACCCCTTCTACATACAATATTCCCTTTAGCAATACATACATACAGAGAAGGGGGGGGGGGAGGAGGTAGATAGATAGATGGATAATATACAAAGAATGGACCTATTGCTGCATTTGTTCCAAGATCTTTCAGCCCATCTATTGATAGTTTAGTATGAGTTGTCTTAAAGACGGTTGTATTGGGTATTTTATTATTGAGCTGAGCATCATTTTTGTAGAATTTGTCAGGGGCCATCGATGAGCATTTGTCCTATTCTATTGAGTCTTTGGGTTCTTTCTATTTACTCATTCAATGACTTTGAAATATATGTTTATAGTTATCAATCTACAAATGTACATTTAACTTAAATATCATGTATTATGGCAAGAGAAATCCAATAATAGTTTATAGGGCTTATCTGGACTAGAGCACTGAAAACTTGTCAAATGCAACTTATTACATGGAAACTTGACCCTATTGGCCATGTCATCCCTCAAAATGATCATATATATCTGTATGCACAAACATGTGTATATATGTATCTATATTCCTAAGGTGATTACATCAGGAAATTAAAGAAGTTTTCCTTGGACAAGCTAAGGATCACTTTAGAATGATTCTGGCGTTTCCTTGTGACAATAATTCCTTGGCAAAATAATATGCTTGGAAGACAAGAGATCATATTTCTCCTTAGAAACAAGTTGTTCCTTGTTTTGATTTTAGGAGGGGAAAATTTTGCCTTTTAACATGCCAAATTCATAGCCTTTTGAGTTCATAGTTCATACAACATCTTTTCCATACATAAGAATATTTTCATGAATATAAAGAGCAATTTAACATTTCTGCTTCATAAAAATTAAGTGCATGCAAGTCCGACCTTTAAGGATGATTAGAATAACTCTTTATTGCATATTTGTTGATGAAAATTATGGTTACATTGCAAAAATGTCAGAACAGGTTATTCCTAATAAAGAATTATTTTTCCTTAATTTTGGGAATGAAAAATAGATGGTTTTGGAAAGCAAAGAACGAGGACTGCTTTTTTTTTTTTTTCTTTTGGAAACTTACATTCTCTCCCATGAAGAAACATAGGCTCGAGAGGCACTTTCTCGCTTTCAATTTTCTTATTTATGCCTATATATATATATATATATATCCAAATTTCATTTTATATAAATATAATTCTATTATTAAATAATAATTATCGGAATAGTCAAATTTAACAATTTTTAGATAGCACCATATCTTCTGTCACTTTCCATTTAAAATGATGTTTATTCAAGGATAAAAGCTATTAAAAAACAAGACTTAATGGTCTTTTGAAAAGCTTTATTTTTTCCATAAAATTACAATTTTCTTGAAGTCAAGTTTATGAAAATAAATATCAGATTGTTAGAGATGTAAACAAGAATATCATAGGGGAGAATATGTGTTGCAGGTCTGCTGTGTTGGAAAGAACAAAATCTACCCATATTTTTATAACTAAAATTTGGTCAACAGACCTATTTTACTAGTTTAGTTCCAAGAATGGAAGGGTAGAAACCAGGGGTGAGCATGGGTCAGTTCGGTTCCATGGCAGAACCTGGAACCTACCTTGTAGGGGTCAGTTCTAGGTTTTTGGAACTGGAACTTATCCTGTGAAGGTCGGTTCTGGCCTTGGTGGTTCTGGGGTCAATTCCAGGGTCTACCCCCCATGGAACCTATTCTTTCTTTACTCCCTCCTCCCCTAAAGAAAAAAGAAAAGAAAAAGAAACATGCTCATTGAAAACTTGATTTTTAATAAATATAATATATTGTTTAAAACTTATATTAACTTCATTGATTAAATTGAGAAACTTAATGCATAGATTATCATTATATGGTTTAAAACTTATAATTTAAATTTAAATTTTGTAAATATTACTTTTTACATTACTTATTGCACACATTCAAACATTAACATGAAAACAAATGATCAAATAACTTAACTCAATGGTTAGGTGAAACCATGGCCTTTGTAACTATGAGTTTTTTGGTTCAAATCTTCACATCCCCAAAAGTATTTTGGGATTTATTTCAAGGCAAGTTCAGTTCTAAGGCAGGTTCCACCGAGGCCAATTAAGGTCAATTCATCAAGTTGGTTCAGGCACGGTAAACCCCTAGACCTTGAAACCAACCTGGGTTGGGGCCAGTTTCAATAATTTTTGGAACCAGACTGTACCTATAACAGATTGGATAGATCGGTTCAAGGCCAATTTGAGGTCGTTCCATTTGATTCTGGGTAGAACCTACCCATTTGCTCATCCCTGGTAGAAGCATAATAAGAATTGACTGAACATATTGATAGTAAACTTTAATTTCAAGAGTTGTAGACAGTGATTCTATAGGGAAGAAAAGTTCCCTCCTTACATTTTAACCTTTAGTTTATAATTTGCGCTGATTTAAGGACTTATTGTGCTCAAATGACATCTTTTGTATGTGTGAGGAACAATGTTGAGGAATTGGTATAGCATGGATGATTCTTTTTTTTTTTTCCTACAAAAAAATAAAAACATTCAACCTCAGCTTAAAAGGTTGATTTTCCCCCGTGAGGATCTGCCCCATTCCCCCAATCCCCGTGGGGATCCGCCCCGAATGGGGATGATTTTCCCCACGTGGGGATAGGGATGGGGAAATTTTCATCCTCATTAGTAGGGATGGAGAAATTTTCATCCTCATTAGTAGGGACGGGGAGAACACTCCCCGCCCTGTGGGATCCCCACTAATATATATGTATGCATACGTTATATATGTACACATATGTCTATATATTAATATTTTTAAAAATATGGTTCAACATGTTTGAATCATTTCTAATAGGTTATAAATTTTAATTATTTCATTTTTATTTTTTTAAATAAAATAAAAAATAAAAACAAAATGATTAACATTATAAAAAATTACGGGGAATGGGAATCCCGTAGAGACGGGAATGGAAATAACCTTGTCCCCGTTAGCAGGGACAGGGATGGGGATGGGAATGGGAATGGGGATTTTCACAGGAACAGGAATGGGGAGAGGCTCCCCGTCCCCGCCCCGTTGCCATTCCTACACATTCCCTTGTATCTATTTGCGTTAGTTACTAACCCAGTGTCAATTCCACTATTAGGTTCTTTGAATTCTGAAGGCTATTAATTAAAGATCATGCCAATAACCAGCAAGGGGCAACAATGGTTGCAACAAGCTTTTAATTATGTTTTGTTTTAAGCTTTTTGTTTTTGCTAGACCAAGGTTGGAAATGGGCTGGATCTTCCTAAATCCTAATAATGTGTTAAAGTCTAAAAATGGCCCCGGCCATTTTCTTTAATTGTTAGCCCCAGTCAAACTTTTGAATTCGTTATTTACCAGTTAACACTTTTGAAATGTTTCCATGTTAATGTATAAGAAAAACTCAAGGGATGGCTCTTGATGTTTTGAACCAAAATAGACTTTTTTCTTGGTCTATGTTTGGTTTGAAGGAAAATGCAGGGAAAGGTAGAGAAACCTTTTATAGATTTCCCTGTCTTTCCTTTCCTTTCCCTACCTTTTCCTTCAAACCAAACATAGCGTTAATGTAAAGGATAAGGGTTATCTTATTTATTTTTGAACCAAACTTGATGGGCCATCAGGTGTTCTGGACAGCTTTAGCTTGTTGAAACGAATTTGAGAAATTGGAACACCACAGGTGATAAAATGTTTCTTGATGCATCGGAGCACAACCTAGCGGCCAGAAAACAAAATAAAATAAAATAAAATCTTTTTCTTTCTTTACATGAAAGATAAGAAATAAACAGGATTTAAATTATACATGGTTCTTTCTTTATTTCTTAAATTGTGGTAGGCTAGAAAGATTGTTAAGTTAGGCCTAGCCTACATTTTTGAGAGAAAGTAAGGTACCCAAAACACTAAGGATTTCGTGTATCAGTGACAAAAATTGTGCTCCTTGAAATGAGATATATTGGACTTGGGCTGTTATGTCCTAACTCACCCCATTCCATATACAAATGGCATAACAGAGCTCAATTAGATGACATCATTGGAGATGGACCAACCTTTTGGATGGATGACATGGTTTGTCACACCATTCTCTATGTGGCTAAAAATGATTAGATACTAGGAGCTACTTTGATCCATGTATCATTCTTCTATATCTTCCCAAATTACTTCCATCCAAATAATTATGCAATAAGAATTTTATCTATGTAGGTCCCTTGAAAATTCTTCTGAGAATGCTGTTTGAATCAATGGTAAAAAGCACCTTCTTGTAATCGCATCCTATTTGATTGCTGAGAATTAGAGAACTTGAGGCTTTGAATGATTTAAGTCCAAGTTGTAGAATCAGACGAAGAAACAGATGATAATTAAGAAAAACGATGCAGTTACATTTATGACTGAAAGTTATGGTCAAGATAAAGTCAAATCAGATGATAATGATGAAGATCATGATTTTTTTTTTTTTATCTCAAACCAGACCGTAGGTTATACTGATTTTGACCAAAGTGAAGAGTTTTTTTCATTAAAGATTGGTAATAGTCATGAACTCTTGGAATGCACAGAAGCGTAGAACCATAGACCAAGAGCTGCCACTCTGGCCATGTTATATTTCAATTGATTGTCTGTGGTTGTATATTTACTTCTAGATCAGTTTCTATCCATTTTATCATTATCTAAATTTACTTCATCTTTTATATGGTTTCCTAGAGTTTATATAAGCTTCACAGTACATAGTCTGCATTCCATTATTTTAGCTCCTTATGGCCTACACATTTGCATTTTAAGATCCCATGTCTTTTTCAGTTCTGGTTAGTTGTTTAAACTCGAACATTTTTTTTGGCAGAAAGTATTCTGTTGTTCAAAACTGTGTATAAATTTGACATGCAGTCTTGGTGTTAACCACAATCACTTGAGGCAGTGGAAGAAACAAGAAGAAAAAAAAGAAACAAGAAAAATATCTATAAGGGAAAGCTTGTGTTGCTTTTGCATTAGATATTTTAAGATCCCATGTCTTTTCTAGGCAACTGTCATGAAATCTACTCTGAACTGCCTTGTGTTGCTTTTGCATTAGACATATCTATAAGGGAAAGCTTAAATTAAACTGGTATAAAGAGAGCATAATTAAAATGGATGTAGGAAATTAATAGTTCAATCAAGGTTCAAAATATTGATACTACTGGCGTATTGGCCTGTACCGGTACTGTTTTTTGTGTTTTTTTTTTCCAAAACTGGTTCAGAGGGGCCAGTTTAAGGCCGGTCTACCCTCTGAACCACAGCTCTGATACGATACCTATCGGCTGTGATGAAATTTTGATCCATGAGTTCAATCTTCAATGTAACATTTTCCCATCCATGACTGTTCACAAGTTACAGTGGCAGCTTGGTTTACCATTTAATTCTATGTACAAGATTTGACAGTCACATCTGCTCATTATTCCAGGAGTAACTCTTGGGGAAGGAACAGGTGCTACAATGTCCGATGATGAAGATGAACTACAGATGGATTCTGCATTAGATCAACCAGGTTCTGATGGGCATGACATGATGTCATTTGGTCCACTGCTTCCAACTGAATCTGAAAGATCTCTGATGGAGAGGGTTAGGCAGGAGTTGAAGATAGAGCTGAAGCAGGTAAAGTACTTGATAGTTGCTGGAAATCTCCCAATTCTTTCGTTTTTCTGAAGCTCCCAATTCTTTTAGTAGACATGACCAACAAAACAGCAAGCTGATGTGTCATATTTCCTGCCTTTCAGGGCTTTAGGTCAAGAATTGAAGATGTAAGAGAGGAAATCTTAAGAAAAAGAAGGGCAGGGAAATTGCCTGGTGATACAACTACGATCTTGAAAAATTGGTGGCAACAACACTCAAAGTGGCCCTACCCTACAGTAAGCAATTGCAACTTTTTGTTTCAAATTCTTAGCATACTCATAAATATAATTTACAATACTGTGCTGTGGCTTATTTCACTTCTATTTCTTTTTCTTTCAAATGTATTACATGTGGAAAAAGCAATAAAAGCTTCCTAAGTTCTTTAGTTTTCATTGTTATAATATAAGTTTGTCGAGGGCATGATTTTTTACTTGTCAAAGAAGTCAATGTCTAGTGAAAGATGACAATCATAAACAATAACTGAAATATTCTAAAATATTATATGCCAAATGAAAACCAAAACATAGTCTGAAAGAAGATCGATCCTCCTGGACGTTTCTCTAGTGTTTTTTTTTTTATTATTATCAAGTCTATCAGCAAGGGGATCCTCTTAGGTTGTTGATATCTTCATAATCTATTAGTCTCATTTTCTAGTTATTTATAAAATTTCATTACTTCTTGATCTCTTGCTCTCCAATAAGGATGTGCTATTCATGATCTTTTTTTGTCATTTCAAGTAGTTTGTCATTGATCAAAGATCTTGGAGTTGTGCCAAAATGCTGACCCAGTTTGTTGTATAGACATATGCTTCATGAAAAAAAAAATGGAAGATTGATCTCAAAATAGAAGCCTCAAAAGCTAGTTGTTCTTCTATTCCAAGAATTTCCTAGTGGAGTCCATGTTTTTTTCTATCAGTAACTGATCAATTTTATTAAAGTTTAGATAAAGAATGATGTACAATCAGTATATGCTAGGTATCCCTGATAATGGGCTAACCCTGCTACTTACTCCTATTTACACCCGTTTATGACTCTTAATTTACGTTACATGTTTCCTCCTCAAGAAGACACCCCCAAGAAAATAAAAAAGTTGGATACTACTATTCCCTTCTTGCCAAGGTATCATCCATGCCATTGGCTGACCTCTGAGTCCATCTAAAAGGTAGCTCTTAACTCCCTATCCAGCAGTTTTACCTCTCCTTATGGCATGTCTATGCTTCCAAGGCCCAATGCAATTAAACTTAGTCACCCCACAACCACCCATGAATCCCCTTCTGCCTCCAATCATAGAAATATAGAACTTTCCCCAATCTAAGTCCTTAATTCCCTAGTGAAATTCATGTTGTCTACTCCCTCTGAAATCCTCCTTATATTCTTCTTACCAAGACCTCCTGCAACTTATGTTTTTGGGTGCATTACAATTCTAAACAAGTGCCAAACAACTAAGAATCAATGGTAGAACGAGTTGATGCAGTTTGATCAGAATCGCATCTAATAAATACTTCTTTTGATTGGTGAAACTAACAAACACTTGGCAACTTAAGATTCAATTACATCCTGAAGTTTGAGCTATACACCCCTAAAAAGAGCAAAAAATTTAGGAACTTCACCATGCAATGGAACCCAAAGGGAATGGTGACAAAGAATTCAGAAACAATGAAGAAAGCTGCCAAGTAAAGGAGAGAGAAGGAGATGAGCAAAAAGAAAAAGAAGAATGATAGGAAGAAGACGCAATTGCAAACTCCATAAGATAACCTTTTAACTCATTCTTGTATCCTTCTTATATGAACTTACATTCTTAGATCCCTTATTTGATTTACCCCAGTTGGTTCTAGATTCAAGAGCCTAGACTCCTTACTTCATCCTTCAGTATTACTGAAGAAAACACTTTCAAGACATGAGTTTGAATATTTGTGAAGGAGAGGAAGAGTAGGCAACAGTTTCTGCCAAGGAACCAACACTGGGACAGCAATAGACTTATCCTTCTTAAAGTTATTGGCTTTGAAAAACAGCAATTTGACATGCATGAAGACTGGAATAAAGGGATAAGGTGAAGGTTGGAAATTATATAATTTGAAATGCTATGAAGATAAATGATGCCAAAGTTTTTCCCTTTGTGAATGTTTTCCCTATTCATATGCATTTTCTGATTTGGAAAAGGAAAGTGGTTTTAAACATTTTCAAAGTTAAGGGATTATAACATACATTGGGGCCTAGAAGAATCTCAATGATCAGTAGCTAGCAGACAAGCTTTGCAAGCCCCATTAACATTTTCTTTTTATTATTTAGGAAGACAATAAGTAATAGTAATGGAACAGTTTTTAGTTTAATCAGATCCCTAAGAAAGCTGGGCAGGTGAAAACAATTTTTTCTTCACTCTAATTTAGTGTGGAGCATGTATGGAAACACTTTGCAGAGCTGTTTGTGCTGCATTGTTTAGTTCCCAAGGTTGATAGACTTCTATTTACTCGAGTGTTGTTTTGCAGTCACTTCTTTTTGTTAAGCAGTCTGGTAGCCACTTAAGTGCAAGAAGTATACAATTTGGAAATTAATCCCATTCACCATTCTATGTAGCATTTTGGAGAGATGTCCATACCTTTGAGGATATTAACCTTATTTTGATCAATTTTGAGGATGTTAACCTTCAAGAGGAAGTGAAGTACTATGTCTATTCATCAAAAAAAAAAAAAGAGGAAGTACTATGTCAGCTAAGAACCATCTATGCATAGCAAAAACAAGTAGTTTAAATTTCACTTGGCAGTGAAATTTTACTGAGAAAACAGAGACGAAAGAACCATACGAATAGCTACCTGTTCAAACAAGTACCAGAAAGCAGAATACCTACCTGTGTTTTCTTATTTTACCTACACTTCTGAGGAATGCCTTTTCCTCACAAAGGCACAGGAAAAGTATATCTTATTATATGTTGCAAAGACAACATCATTTTTTTACACTAAAATGAAAATGTATTTCTCATAAAATCTGCACTTCTCTGAACTGACAAGCCTGCTTTTTGCCATCCAGTTAAATTAGGACTAATGATTCTACTCTTTTATGTAATTAGAGTCCCAGTTTAATTGTTTACACATGTACCTGTATGACATTTACAGGAAGATGATAAGGCCAAACTTGTGGAGGAGACAGGCTTACAGCTAAAACAAATTAACAATTGGTTCATCAACCAAAGAAAACGGAATTGGCACAGCAATTCTCAATCAGTGACAACTTTAAAATCCAAGCGCAAAAGGTAGACACATTGATCTCATTTGTTGCAAAAGATGAGCCGTAAGTGAAAATACTTTATGGAGATAATGTCTTCTATGTAAGTTCAAAATTAGTTGGTTCTAGTCAAACATCTCTGACAAAAGGGAAAGAAGTCTTAGCAGAGTAGCAGTTAGGTAACTTTTGAATTCAAGTATGTAATATAAGCAGTTGATGATGCACCATTCATATAGGTGCAGGTTTTTGTTTCACTATCACGTTTTCATAACCAGATCTTTGTCAACACATTCTTTTACCATTTGATGGCTGTTGCTTTTGTGAAAATTAGAAAAAAGGACATAATAACACCTGAAATATGCAAATTGCATTTTATAGAATAAATATGATTTTTTTGTGCTCACTGGACAGTATAGTTGAAATTATATAATACATGTCACAGGCGAGCAAATAGAACTTGGCCCTGAGAACAAATTTTTAAGAATGCTACTGCATTTCATGGCAGTGAAGTCAGTAACCAAACCCATTACCTTTCTAATGTTAAAAATTAAAAAATTTCTTTTAGTTTCAAAAAAAAAAATGCATGGTGAAAAAAAATCATAAATTGATGATTTTCCAGATTCCAGATGAACAAGTTTTCACCTTGTATTTATTGACAACCACCTGTATCTGTACCCTTTCTTTTGTTGCCATATGGATAACTTTGACATATTTTCACCTCAAACAAGTTACCATCTGGATAAAAAAGAACCAGAAACATAGACCTCAACAAAGCTGAATGCAGATCATTGCATACAGTTTACTTCATCTATTATGTGAAATATGCCAAATTACCTTGTGGAAGTTTGCAATGTAAAAAAGGATGCTCTTTGAATATGATTTACATGACAACTATGTAACTACAAAATTATTGCTAAAAGAAAAAGATACATGTTTTTCCAACAAAACAGTTTAAAGAACAAGAGAAAAAGTTATATGGAAGATTATATTTTGTTTAAGGGTCTGACTATAATGTGGGAAAGACATGATACTGGAAAACTTACAACCAATCAATCGGCATTATAAAAGTGGTAACGAATCAGGTGGGTATTCATCAAAATTAACAGGGGGTTTTGATTGGTCAAAACTCCTGGTATCATGTCTTTCTGGCATCATAGATTTTCCTTTGTTTAATAGTAGAACTGGTATGTCTATAACGCATGTACATGACATGTCTGGTAGTCAAATTCTTGAAAATTATCTTTTATCACTTAGTGAAAATGTATCTACATAACTAAATAAATGGAAACTTCTGTATGTATCTCAATTTGTTTCTCCAGGATTTCTGGAAAAATAAGGATTTACGACCTCACAAAAGTGAAAAGGGATTCTTTGGTTAAATGATTTTTTGACTTATTTGATTCTGCTATTCAGGGATGGGACCATATTGCAAGATTGACATGTTTTTGATCAATAACAGAATTGCAAGATTGATATTATAATTTTAAAATGATCATGGAATTGTAATTCTCCAAATAATACGAGTTCTTTTTTCTTTTTTCTTTTTTGAGGGTGATTATCTTTGACTTAATTATAGGCATACAAATGAAAATTGCCAAATGATAATGATCATCAGACAATAATGGCAAAAATATGTGTTCCAATCACAGAAAAAAGAAAAGGAAGCCTGAAATGGTTTATTCTTGGTACAGAGGCAATATGATGGCTGGAACAGAGATGGTCCAAAATGGATGAGAATCATGAGATTGATGCCTAAAAATGACTAACAAAGTTGTACTCTCATGCTAATAATGTTGAGTAAGACAAGGCATATAAATCTACCACAACTTTATAGGTAAATCTTTTTTTTTTTTTTATTCCACTCCAAATCCAAGATTTATCTATAAACATTTTTGAACTTTATAGATAAATCTTAGATGTGGAGTTTTATAAAGAATTATTCACTGATTAACCTGATCTACAAATAATCATTTAAGCTAAAAGAATTCAAAGAACAAAATCATAGTGGTGCATGCACGACAAAATTTATGATTAGCCCCATATAAGAAACAAATTCATAGAAGATGAGATGCAAAAAGAAAAGGTAACACTTCCATATACTACAAAAAAGGGATTTAGATTTCTTGGTGCTACCCATGCACTTTAGCTACAAATTACAAAAGTTTATGGTGACATTTCCCATTTGCTTCAGATGGCACGCTTATCAAGGATGACCATTATCTATGTGAGTTGTAGATCCATATTTTCGTCTATCAATAATTATGTAAATGTTTCTCATTGTCTTGTTAGTAGAGTTAGTATGCTCTGATTCTGAAGAGATCGTTTTGTTCAGGTTGGATCTAGGTTTCTATTTTTTTCCCATTTTCTTACTTTATGTGCACTCTTATTCCAACAAGATTCCATTAGATTACTGGAAATTCAATAGGCCTTATTTTCTCCTTATTCTAACAGTAAAGAAGCATAGAAATCAAATAGTTCAGAACTTTCTAACCCTAATTTCCGCTAAAAAGTGTAATTAGAACTAATATAAGATTCCACACCGCATATGTATATTAATGATAAAGGCATCAGCGAGCAGCCCAACGGAAGAATGCATTTTTAGTTTTTTACCCAGTTGAGATACCAAATCTTTATGAACATACGCTTTACCTGTTCTACTTCCAATTTTCCCCTGCAGAGTGTAGTGGAGATAGAACGAATAAAAAAAAAAAAAAAGAAAAAGAAAACTCTCTGTTGCGTTAGTCTGCTCTGCTCAGTATGATATGCTTGAAATCTGATTAAGGGTTCAATATAAGATTTGCGATATTTGGTCTGAGATACAAAGGGGCAAAGACGATTCGAGAACTTCTACACAAAGGACTTGGTTGTTTCCATTTATTAAAGATTAATGGAAAAAAATGTAGAACACTTCAGCATCAGTACTCCCGAGGAACCAAGAGAGTTGCATTCGTTACCAACGATAAACAAAGCAAATCCATAACTAAAACTGAGCCAAAGATATGGCAATCGATAATAAATACTCAAAACAGAGAACCAACCTAAGCAAGTCTACTTGTTTACAGTCACAGATATACCAATCCGGTTGTCAAAACAAGATCATTAAAGTACTGTAATCGCTCTTGTCGCATATTTGATACCCACGGCAGAAGAAACTAACAGAAACATATCATTTCAATACAGATAAAGAAACGCAGAAAAATTTAAAAAAAAAATGGAAATACATTTGCCTGATATCGTCGCAGGAAAAAGGAGGGAGACTGGAGAGTTGGACAGAGACTGTTTTGTTTTCTTTACTCCTGTTCCTGACTTCCTCATTCCAGTTGCCTCTTCTCTTCTTCCTTCTTCCTTCTTCTCTCCTATCGGTATGGTACCATGGGTCCACCTTGCTCGTTCACGGTCAACCCAAAGTTCAAATCCAAAGATAAAACAACTTCAGTGGTTTAGTACTTGGCGCCTCACAGACACATCCTATTATACATTTGGAACATCTCCCGTATTTATTGGTTTTTATTCAAGGGAAATGTTCCCAATTCAAGGGAGATGTTCCCATTGAGGGAGTTCGGATTTGATCTCACGGAACCGTGCTCACACCCTTCTCACAGCCTACGGACCAAATTTGATCACGGTGTGAGGATCAAATCGGAACTTCATGAGACCGGATGATCTGCTCTCACACCACCACTTAATTACATCTCAGCCGTGCATTTGGGAACAACATATAAATGAGTCCGGATCTGCTCCTCGCAGCCTGGCGCCTCAAAACATCCTCACAAAACGTGATGATGCCACGTGTCCCCAAAGCCTCTGCCTCTCCTCTTTTCTCTCCGCCAGGTGACAACGAAAGAATGAAACCCTAGCGCCCTCCATCGGTTGAAGTGCTCTCCCCAGAAGCCAGCGATCTCACCGGCCAGAATAGATTCCAATGACAGTACGAGAGCTTCCTCCGTTGGGGTTTTTTATTTTTTTCACATGCAAGCTATGGCACCGATGACCATTACCAAGTTCAAGATTTTTCCCATTTCATTTTTCTTTTCCTTTCAAACATTTCAAATTCTTATTGGACTGATTTTTACTTGGTTCGTGAAGCCAAAACTTCTAATTGGAGTGATTATAATCTCTCGTAGTTTGAATAACTATTTTTGACGCTATGAACAATTAGTTTGCTTCTAGATTGTATTTTTTACTAGTTCAAGAACAACTATTGAGCCTTTGTTCATCTTCTTAGTGTTGCATAATTACTAGTTCATGAACAACTGCTCTTGGGTTATCAGATTTCTCTTGGGTTATTTTCTATTAGTTTGATGAGAAGTTGTAAGTGACTCAGTAGCAAAATCTTTTCTAATGTATAATTGTTAACCAGAGACTTAATTGAGAGGCACAATGTATGATTAGATTAGTTATGTTAGACAGTTTTTGTATGCCCTTAGCTTCAATCAGAATGATGTACATTATGAGTTTATTGTAAATGAATAAAGTA